GGGGGCACACGTCATGAACCAATCATGGCGTCGGGGGTCTGGGTCCTCCTCCACCCCCATCCTCCCCTGCTCCTCGCGGGTGGCTCCACAGTTGCCCCTAGGTCTTTTACACCTCTGCCTGCTGCAGTAGCTTGGCTCGGGCCCCACGAGCCGGCCCGCTGCTGCTCGTCGTCGCCCACCTCCTCCCCTGATCTCCTCTGCTGCTCGCACTTCGCTCCACAATTGCCCATCAATCTTCTGTAAGCCGTCTTGCTGCAGTAGCTGAGCTCGGGCCGCACGAGGCGGCATCGGGAGCGGGACCTGATCACAATCAGGGCCTCGCCGCAAGTTGCACATATCAATGACGAGAATCCTTCCTCCTCTGCTCCTCCTCACTCGCTCCCTCCCTCTTTCCCTCCTCTTCTCATCATCCTTCTTGCCCCTCCCTCCCTCTCTTCCTCCCTCCCTCCCCTCGATCCTCATTCTGAGCGTTCGGCCTTCGAGCGCTCCCGTCATCTTATCCAACTCCTCTTGCCGTGAGTCCTGGTCCTCCCCCTCTTGCGATGCACGGACTCGGATCATAGGGTTCCAGCGTCAATTATGTTTCTCCTCATCCTTCGTAATGCTCACCTCCTGACCTTCAGCCTCCCCCCTCCTCCCCTCCCAGCCCTATCTTCCACCCTCCGCTTCGTGTCTTACACATTCCCCCCCCCCCCAGTCTACGCCTCCCTCCCTCACTTGGTCGTTTCCTGTTTCCCCCCATCATCCCACACACCCTCTTCTGTAAAATACCTTTTCCCCTGTCGCACCACAAGACGTGTCGCAAGGGCGGGCCAGGCGCTTCGCCTGAGAATTCCCCGTCGTCGACGACATCGCCTGATAACTCCGAAGGAAAAACAAAACTAAGCGGATGGTGCAGTGGCGTCACGGTTGGAAGGTAGCCAATTTTAGCCAATTTTCAAAATAGAGCTCGTTCGAGACTACCTCACACCTTGTTCGGGCAATTGACATTGTGTAGCCGATACAGACTGATGAAGAGCGACTCATTTCTTGACGGGGTTCTCGCACAAGATTGCCCCAACGCTCAGGACCGCAATAATAACGCGATCCAACAAGTACGGTCAGGAACTCTTGCGTGGCGCGTCGCGGCGGCGGCCTGGGCGGCATGCTATGTCTTGCGAGCAGACAGCGAGTCGCTGAGCTTCGCGGGACGGGGGGCAGGGAAACGCCAGGAACGAGGATGTCTGGGGACTCAGACGTGGCTGGCATGTCGCGTCGAGGCGCGGTGGGCCAGAGCCGACGGCGCGACACGCTAAGCAAAAGAGCTCCCGACCAGTCGGGGGCGGAGGTGCCCTTTTCGGAGTGGGGCCCCCGTCTCGCCCCGAGACGCTCTAAAGCCCCCACCCCTGAGAGAACTGCACGGATGCGGGGCGCATCGACGACATCGACATCGAGACAAGATTGGAGACGTTTCGTATCATGTGGCAAAGAATTCGAGTGCAACTCAAACAAGGACGCATTCGGAAAACTTGGGCAGTCTACGGGCCACACAGGCAAGAACTGACCAGCCGATCGTATCCTCTACGAGGCCGCGTCCACCTGCTAGAAAGCACTGTGGCGCCGACGTTGTTGTGTGGGGGTGAAGTTCGGCCTATGGCACGCGACGCAGAGCACATAATCACTTGTGTGCAGCGGAGAATGCGCATGCAAATACTAGGAGCAAGAAGAAGAGCAATGCCCAGGGACCAATATGATACACATCGCATTGGCTTGAAATGTGATGGACACTTCACCTGCGCCTAATTCTGACGGTGCCCCGTCAGCTGATGCAGAATGTTTACAGCTGGAACATTGTGTTTACTCCATCACAACGGCGACGTAATCATGGGTACACCAGCAAAGACGGCGTAAATGGCAATGACCGCTACGAGTAGCAAATATGGAAACAAGCCGGTGGGCTTATAAGGCGATGTTGTGGGATCCGGCGATGAGTCCTTCTTCGGCCTGTCGCTCAACGGGGAGACCACAAAGACGATGGGATGACGACGTTCGAAAGTATATCACTCCCCAGGGGATCAGCACTTCTTGGCAATTTGTGCGAGACGGCCAACCGAGTAGAGCGCACAGGCGGAGGGATCTGTGCACAGGAGACAACTCTGAGCCTCGCGTGCCACAGCCTGGCCTACATTTCCAATGCTTCCAGATGCAGCAGGGACGCCGCTTACCTCTTCCAGTGTGGCGGCTGTCTGTCCTATAGTTCCGCCCGCCCTCTTAGAGGACCGCCCTTCGGGGCTGGAGTGCGCGCCGCATGGCCTCGCGACGCCTCGCATCGCACCGACACACTCCCTCGAGCCTGAAGGCCCCGCCTCGTCGCACCGGCGGCGGCGGCGCTCGCCGGCCCGGCGCCGCCCGCTCGCTCGCTGGCTCCTCCTCGCTCGCCGCTCGCTCGGCTGACAGGCGGCGTGGCTCGCCGTCGCTCGCCGCCGGCGGCGTCGCCTTGCAAAGACGGGCCTCCGGCCCA